GTTTTGTATATTCTAAGTTCTTTGCTTCCTTATAAAAAGCTTTAAAAAAAAAAATCAGCCTTTCTATCCTGAAAAAGCTCACTGAAATTTTCATTGTATTCAATCAATAGAGTCATAGGCCAGGATCATTTGGGGATGATTAACATCGCAATAGTATTGAGTCTTCTACTCCTGAACAGTGTCTTTTGTCATTTAGTTAGATGACATGGAGGGTCTTCACGAGAAAGGATAAAGAGTAGCTCTTGAAAGTATAACTGACTGCTCTTAACAGTGGACTCTAGTGGGGCAGTGGTAGAAGCAGGAACTACTTCAGTAATGCTAGCAAGCAGTGAAGATCGGTAAGTGTTAACAGTCACTTTGAAGTGGTCAGATTTTAGGTGCATTTGGGTAGAGTCTTCCCCACAGCCTCATAAAAAAGAGTGTACTGTCAGACTCAAAATTTTACCAATGTGTCCAAAAGATAATATCTCAGTTTAGCTTTATAAACTTTTCTTCTTTTCCTGAGTGAGGAGAAACAGGTTATGTTTTAAAAATTTTCCCCTCCAGCACATCTTTTTAACCCTTATTCTGTGATATAAATTGCAGTTTTCCTAAAGTTTTTGGTATTTTTGCCTTGAGTATTTATTTATCTGTAATTAACACATTTGAGTTTGTTTTTTTGCCCGAAGGCATGTGTGTACTCCCTGTGGGGAGAGAGAGAAAAAGCAAGAAAGCACCCCCCCATGGGGGATGGTCACACCACAATCCCTTCTCCTCCATCTTTCCCTCCTTTGGAATTTTGGGCACGCACAAACATGTGCCCTGAGAGTTTCCCAAGCCAACTCTGGAACTCCAGCCACGCATTGGGCCACGTGGGAATCCAGTCACCTTCATGGATCAGGCCATGGGCTGGCCCCACATTTGATTTTTATGTCATCAAATATTACTAGTTTTCTCCTTTAATGATACTTGGATTTTGATTAATTGTTGGGCCTTTCCCAGTCTCACACTGAAGAATTGTCCTGTGTAGACTTCTAGGACGTAACTTTTTTTTAATGGTAGATCGTGAACATATTTTAACTTCATTTTGTTTTATGGTAGGTGATGTGGCTCCGCCTTTCCCATGTAGCCACAGAGCTATCCCTGTGACACTGGTGTATGGCCTTTCCTCACCCGTTGTAGATGTTCCCTATATTCAAATTAGGAAATCACGCAATATATCTGTATCTATGTTTTACTTTCTCTTCTGTCCCCTAGAAGAGGGGCAGTTCATGGACGAAGGCCACGTTCGTTTAATTATTGAGGCTTTACTAAAGATTTAAGTATCCAGTAGGTCAGCTTCATAAGATTTGCCACTAATCAACACTTTTGGGCTATATATTCATGTTTTTTTGTTTTTGTTTTTTGTGTTTTGTGTTTTTTTGAAGAGGTTTTCACTATAGGGCGCATGCGCTCATCAGACAGACAGAGAGACATAGAGACAGAAAGCGAGAAATCACCGCCCAGGAGGGATGGTCACACCGCAATCCCTTCTCCTCCATTCTCCTCTCGGGATCTTGGGCACGCACACACATGCACCCGGCGTGAGTTTTAAGCCACTGGGTCTGGGACACGAACCGCGGTCGACTACGTGTGAGTCCAGCAACATAGCCATTACGCTAACTGCTGGTTCCCATGTTTTTGTTTGCCCTATGAATTTTTGAGCCAGAATTGGCAAAAGGAATCGTTACATATATAAAAAAAAGAAAACATCACGGTGATGTTTCTTATATTTGAGGAATGTATGTTTGAACTAATCATTGTAATTCATAGAAACAGAATAAAGGGGAGAAATCACATGATTACAAGTGGTAAATTAATTTGAGAAAACGTAATGCCTATTCATACACATTATTTTTCTTTTTCTTTTTTTTTTTTTAAGAAGTTTTTGCTATAGGGTGTGTGCACTTGCCAGAAAGACAGAGACAGAGAGACAGAAAGCGAGAAATCACCGCCCAGGGGGGATAGCCACGCCACAATCCCTTCTTCTCCATTCTCCTCTCGGGATCTTGGGCACGCACTCACACGTGCCTGGTGTGAGTTTAAGCCACCGTGTCCAGGACTCGAACCACGGTTGACTACATGGGAATCCAGCAACATAGCCATTATACCAACTGCTTGTCCCACACCTATATTTTTTGACAATCAGAAAAAGAAATGTTCTGCTTTGATATCTACAGAAGCATTGTCAAACTTCAAATACCAGAATAGCTCCATGCCTCTCCCTTTGGCTTCCCAGAGCTCCTGAAGTGTTCCCCAACCTTAGCAAAGAGTTCTTGTCTTGAAGCTTTCTGTTCGCCAGGTGTCTGTGGGCAGGTCTGCAGTGAGGCCCTCAAGGGTCATCCATCTGCCCATGTACACTGCATTCCTCCATCTGGCTCAGGCTGCGCTTGACCATCTCCTGGGGTTCTCAGCGCCTGCTCCTCACACTCCCGTCTGTGCCTATGTAAGACCGTGGGCAGCAGCACCCACTTTTCTGATCTAATTCTAACCTCTCCATCTTCTAAATTGGTTCCAATTTTCCAGCCTTCTGCCTGGATGCTTTCTTGTGTCCCCCTTTTGTCATACATTTATAATAAGATTTTGTGTTTTGCCAAAGTGTGATTGTGTAGGCAGAGGATGTCACCATGTGTACTCAATCTGTTATCTGGAACTAGAGGAACAATTACGCTTTCATTTCTCTCTTCTCTTCATTCCAGTAGTCTATCCTGTCTGATTTCTCTTGTCATCGTTTGTTTTTTTTTTTTTGAGAGGTTTTTGCTATAGGGTGCGTGCGCTCGCCAGACAGACAGAGAGAGACATAGAGACAGAAAGCAAGAAATCACCCCCCAGAGGGGATGGTCACGCCGCAATCCCTTCTCTATTCTCCTCTCGGGATCTTGGGCGCGCACGCACATGCGCCCGGCGTGAGTTTTAAGCCACTGGGTCCGGGACTCGAACCGCGGTCGACTATGTAGGAGTCCAGTGGCATAGCCATTACGCTAACTGCTGGTTCCCTCTTGTCATCGTTTAAAAATTCTTTCTCAGCCTTCATGTTCAATTCGTTTTTTGCCCACCTTTTTTTTTTTTTTTAAGGTGTCTGCCTTAGGGTGCATGCCAGAGAGAGAGAGTGAGTGAGAGGAAAAGTGAAAAATCATCCCCCAGGGAGGATGGCCATGCTGTAGTCCCTTCTCCTCCAGTCTTCTTGGGATCTGGGGCACGCACGCACACATGCACAGCACGATTTTCAAGCCACCAGATCCAGAACTCAAACAGCAGTCAGTCATGTGGGAGTCTAGCACCTTAACCACCATGCACCTGCTGGCCCCACCCACCTCTTAAATATCGCTGTTCCTTCAAATTTTGTACTTAGCACTTTCCTCTCCTCAGCTTCTATGTCTTTTCTGAGCCATATTTTTTTTCTTTGATAACTTAAGGTTATCATCTTTTGTTTTGTTTTATTTTGGTTTTTAGGTTCATTCATCTACTTCTTACACGAGCAAGAGAAACAGAGAACCAGCATCCCCAACAAGGTCTTGGTACCACAGTTTACACCCAGCCTTTCCCAGATCATGGCCACACAATGTGGCTGGCATATCAGAGAGGCCTCTAGACTTGAACCATGAGCCTCTCCACATGGGATTGCCTCAGAGAGTATTGCATTTTACCACCATGCCAGCTTCTGGCCACTTCAGTTACCATCTTCATGATTAATGTTTCTTAAGCCCTTATTTTCATTTCAGACCTCCCTTTCCCGTTCCCAAATCATGTAACCCAAAGAGGAATGAGTAAGTGCGTCTTTATGTCCCACAAGTATTTCAGGTGCAGATGGAGGCTATCTCCCTTGCCGTGACCCTCTAATAATGAAGGCCCGCCTCTTATTTACTTTTCCAGTTTTGGTGTATAGTGTCAGCATCTACCCAACTGCTCACATAGCATCTCTGTGTATAGAAGATACCTGGATTGTGTCTTCTGTAACAATTAGCTTACCATTCTCTATCTCCTTTGGTTGGCCTTAGCACAGATCATCTCTTAAATTGGAACTCTTTTCTTCCTGCTTCTGTCCTCTGTTCTCATAGAGCAATGGTTTCTAACTGGGGGTGCTTTTGCTCCCCAGGCATATATGGAGACTTTTTTTAGTGTTACAATTGGGGGTGCTACTAGCATCTCAGGGGTAGAATAGGGGTAGAAGGATAATGCTAAGCATACAAAAATTCACAGGGGAGTCTTTCCCCAAAAAAAGTGTTATCTGGTTCATTAGTGCCAAGGTGAAGGATCCCTGTTCTAGAACACTGTTCCTGAAATATAGAAACCCACTTGTACGAAACACTTCCCTGGCTCCCATGTTTCTCTTCATCAGTTCTCCACAACCCTGATATCCAACTTGGGATGCGTGCTGTACGGAGTGCTCAGCATGCTTCATTGGCATATGGGAAATGCGTACAGAGATCTTACTGATGGTAATTTTACCTAAAACATAAGGCATTAATAATGCTTCCCCAGTACTCTAAGGTATAATGTATATATGTAATTTTAAAATAAATACAAATAAATCAAAGTGTGGGAATAATATTTGGGCTTACTACATATCCTTAAAATATAAGGCAGTTAGGGTCACAGTAAGCATCGTTTATAGCATTTTGTTTTAAATTGTTAATGGTAAGAATTAGTGTCCATGGAACCAGCAGTTAGCGTAATGGCTATGTCCCTGGGCTCCCATGTAGTCGACTGCAGTTCAAGTCCTGGACCAGGTGGCTTAAACTCATGCCGGGCACGTGTGCGTGCACGCCCAAGATCCCGAGAGGAGAATGGAGGAGAAGGGATTGCAGTGTGGCCATCCCCCTGGGGGTGATTTCTTGCTTTCTGCCTCTCTGTCTCTGTCTTCCTGGAGAGCACACATGCCCTATAGCTAAAACCTCTCCAAAAAAATAAAAAGAATTAGTGTCCAAAAATATTTTTCTGTCCTGATTCTGAGACTACAGGATGATTATGTGCTGTTACAGGCAGCCGTGTCATTCAAGGATGTGACAGTGGAGTTGACCCAGGAGGAGTGGCGGCACATGGACCCTGCCCAGCGGACCCTGTACAGAGATGTGATGCTAGAGAACTACAGCCACCTGGTCTCCGTGGGTGAGCAGAACTTACTGTGGGACTCCACCTGAGCCTCTAGAGTGCAATTCTGTTTCTTCCCTTTATTAAAATATTACTCCCTTTTGTTGAAGTATATTTAACAGAAAGTCCAATTCAGTACCTTTCAGTATGCAAGTTAATGAGTTTTGAAAAATATACACAATTGATCTCTACCATGATTAGAATATTTCCATTTCCTGGGGCCAGCAGGTGGTGTGGTGGTTAAGGGCACTGGACTCCCACATGGCTGACTCTGGTTCGAGTCCCGGACCTGGCATCTTGCTTTCTCACTTTCTCTCTCTCTGTCTCTCTCTCTTTCTCTCTCTCTCTCACTCTGTCCCTCTCTAGTCAAATTAAAATAAATAAAGTTAAATAAAGTAATTTTTTTTTTTAAAAAAAGAGTATTTCCATTCCCTAAAGAGATGCCTTGTAGACCTTGGCAGTGAGTCCCTTCTGTCCATGTGTCCATCCCTCTGCCCTTATCCCTAGCAACCACTAAACTTCTTTCTAGTGTAATCATTTTGCTTTTCTTTAATTTTATATAAATAGAATTGTAAAACTATGTACTCTTTTGTGTGGCTTCTTTTATTTAGCATAATGCTTTTGAGACTTAGGTATGTGTTCGTGTATCGGTGGTTTATTTTATGCTGAGTAGTATTCCTTTGTATGCATGTACCACAATTTGGTATATTGTATTTTTTGATAGACGTGGGTTTTTTTTGCAGTTTGGGAGTATAAAGGTCTTACTGAACATTCACATACAAGTTTTAGTGTCAACATGTGTTTTATTTATCTCGTGTAAATACCTAGGAATGAGCTTATCAAATCTTTTAGTAAATTTATGTGAAACTTTATAAGAAATTGCCAAATGCTTCCCAACTGACTATTATTTTCATGCCCATAAACAATGTTGTGAATTCTCATAGCACTTTGGTTACCAATGTTGGGAAGCCCTTTTTGTTTTGCTTTTAAGTTTTTGCCAGAGGGCACCTGCACTCATCAGAAAGAGAGAAAGAGAGACAGTGAGAGAGGAAGTTAGAAATCACCTCCCAGAGAAGATGGCCACACCACAGCCTCTTCTCTATTCTCCTCTTGAGATTTTGGGCACACACACACACACACACACACACACACACGTGCCCGGCATGATTTTTAAGCTGCCAGGTCCGGGACTCGAACTGTGGCTCCATGTGGGAGTCCAGTGCCTTAACCACCATGCCACCTGTTGGCCCCAGGGAAGCCTTATTTTTTTTTTAAGCCATTTTTCCTTCCATTAGTGAGAGAGACAGAAAAAGAGATAGCAGCCTCCACAGGGTCTCAATGCCACGTTCCACTCCAGCTTCAGCCAGCCCCAGACCGTGGGCACGCACATACCTGGTGTACTCAGGGAAGGCCAGGTTCTGTGAATCTGGAACCTTCTCACGTGGTCAGCCTCACAGAACGTCATGTCTTAGCATTATAGCACCGTCCAGCCTGCATGACTTACTATTGTTAACCATTCAGGTCGATGTCTGGTTGTATTTTGTAGGCTTTAATTGGCATTCCTCTGGTGACTAACAATGTTGAACCTCTTCTCAGGTGATTTTTGGCCATTCGTAAATCTTTAATGAAATTTCTGATCAAATCTTCAGCCCATTTTATATTTACCTTAGTTTTTAGTTTTGTGAGTATTTATCCTATTGTTGAGTTGAAAATCGACCTTTCTTGGATGTTTTGCAAATTTTCTGACTTTGGCTTGCCTTTTTAAAAAGACTATTTTTTCAGTTTTTGTTCTTTTGCATATACTTTTTTAAAAAGAAACTTTATGTTGAGATAATTGTAGATTCACAAGGTTAGCAAAAATTGTACCATTCATAAAGTTTCCCCAGATAGCTGTATCTGACTTAACTATAATAATATAGTGTCAACACCAGTAATTAGAAATCTTTATGATGTGCGTGGATAGCTCCATGCCATTTTATCAAATGTGGAGATTCATGTAACCACCACCTCAATTGAGAAACAAAACTGTTCTCTCACCACAGAGATCTCATTGCTGCTATCCATCCTCACTCCCACACCATTCCTACTCTGCCAACTACTCATCTTCCCTTTATCTCTGTAAGTTCTATCATTTCGAGAATTTCATGTGAGTGTAACCATACAATATTTCTAACTCAGCATAACATCTAACTCAGCATAATGCTCTTGTTTGTGATCCACGCAAGTCGTAGTGTGTATCAATAATTCATTCCTTTTCTTGCTGTGTATTAACCCACAATGTGAGTGAATTATAGTCTTCTTAGCCATCCACACATTGAAGAGCACTTAGGTTGTTTCCAGTTTTTGGCTATTTTAAGTACAACTGCTATGAACATTCATGTTCAAGTTTTATATGAACATAAGGTTTATATCTCTGGGATAAATGCTTAGGCATATGATTGCTAAATGGTATATACTAAGCACATGTTTTGTTCTTTAAGGTAGCTTATAATTTTGTGTTTTCACCAGCACTATCTGAGAAATTTAGTTACTCCCTACCCTTGAGAGTACTTAGCATTGTTGCTGTCTTTTTTCTGGCGGGGGGGAGAGGATTTTTGCTATAGGCCCCGTGCACTCACCAGAAAGACAGAGACAGACAGAGAGACAGAAAGCGAGAAATCACCCCCCAGGGGGGATGGCCACACCGCAATCCCTTCTCCTCCATTCTCCTCTCAGGATCTTGGGCACGCACGCACACGCACCCGGCATGAGTTTTAAGCCACCAGGTCCGGGACACGAACCACGGTCAACTACGTGGGAGTCCAGCAACTTAGCCATTACGCTAACTGCTGGTTCCTGAATATTCTTATTCTAGATTTTTTTTTCTTTTTTGTACATTCCTTGGGTTTCGTGTGTGTGTGTGTGTGTGTGTGTGTGTGTGTGTGTGTAGACAATGATGTCATTCACAAATAGGGTCAGTTTAATATCTCCTTTTCTAATCTGTATGTCTTTCTTTTATTATTTTCCTTATTCATTTTTTTAAGGTTTTTGTCACAGAGCACACATGCTCACCAGAGAGAGACAGTGAGAGGGAAAGTGAGAAATCACTCCCAGGGGGATAGCCAACCTGCAGTCCCTTCACTTTCATTCTCCTTGGAATCTTGGGCATGCATGCACATGTGCCAGGATGATTTTCAAGTAGCCAGATCCGGGACTCAAAACACCCTCAGCCATGTTTAACCTTAACCACTTTAACCACCTTAATGCCTTAACTACCACGCCACCTGCTGGCCCCCATATTTCTTTGATTTCTATTTCTTGCCATATCATACTGGCTAAGACTTCTAATTCTATGTATAGTAATAATGGTAAAAGCAGACATCTTTTCCTTATTCCTAGCCTTAGGGAGAAAACACCTGTCTTTCATCAGGGGATGTGAATAGCTGGAGTTTTATCGATATTCTTCATGAAGCTGAGGACATTCCTCTCTATTCTAGTTTTCTGAAAATACCATAAATTGAAAGACTTTTTCTGTATGTCCTGCTGTCATTATGAGGCCTTTCCTTTGCTGCGTTAATGTGGTCATCTGTACAGTGACTGACTTAAGTGCTGAAATAGCCTTGCTTACTCCGAATAAAGGGCCTTCTTGATCTTGTTGTACAGTTTTTTCTTTTATTTTTCAACTCTACTTGCTAATATTTTGCTAAGTAGTTTTGCATTAATGAAAGACATTGGTGTGTAGTTTTGTAGTATCTTTATCTTGTTTTTATATCAAGATAAGTCTGGCCTTATAAAATTAGTTGGAAGGGTGTCTTCTTATTTGGGAGAGGTTGTGTAGAAGTGATGTTTATTCCTCCTTACATGTTTGGTAGAATTCTCTACCAAAACCATCTGGGCCCAAGAATTTCCTCAAGACTTCTTTTTGGAGGGTTTCAAATTATGAATTAAATTTATTTAATAGTTATAAGGCTATTCATTCATTAGGGAAATAGTAGTTTCTCTAAGCTGTCATATTTACATGTGTAGAGTTGTTCATAATATTCCCTTGTGAACATTTTGATGTCTTTAGGAACTATCTTCATATTCCTGTTTTATTCTTCATATTGGTCATTTCTGTCTTCTTTTTCTTGTTCAGTTCTGCTAAGGTTGTGTCAAATGTATTGCTCTTTTCAGTCAATTAGCTTTTTCTGTCATTGATTTTTCACTGTTGTCTTCTATTTTCAATTTCATTACTTTCTTGTCTTTATTTTTTCTCCATCTTCACTGGGTTTATTGTGCTCTTCTTTTGCAGTGTCTTAATGTGAGATGACAGACTGCTGATCTGAGATGTCCCCTCTTTTCTAATGCAGGCATTTAGTGCTATAAATCCCTCAGCACTGTTTGAGCTGCATCAGACAAGTTGTGCATCAGGTCACTAGAACTAGTCCTTTATTTGTATCTCCTAGTGGTTTTTCTGTCATTGAACCCTAATTTATACAGTATATGATCTTGAAGAAATGCCATTGAAACATCATCTGTTGGACCAGCAAGTGGCATGGTGGTTGGGGCACTGGACTCGTGCATGGCCAACCATAGTTCAAGTTTTGGACTTGGTGGCTTGCTTTCTCACTTGCCCTCTCTCTGGAGAGTGCATGTGCACTGTGACAAACTTGGAAAATAAATAATAAATAAATAAATAAATAAATAAATAAATAAATAAATAAAATTTAATCCATTAATTTTAAAAATATATCTGTTTACTTAATACTTGCTGTTTGGTAGACACCTGTGCAGTTCTAAAGATAATTAGTAGCACAGCTTAAATTTTCATAGGGTGATTTGAATACTCCACAAGGTCAAAAAATAAAACCTCTCCAGAAAAAAATACATGTTCTTTGTTGAAGCTGAGTGAAAGATACATCAAAGGAAGAGATTCACAGGGCTTTTTCCTTTTTTGATGAAAATTCGTAAACTCAAAGAAATGTTTAGATAAAGTGAACAAAACCCAAGTCTAGAAATAAATGAAATAAGCATTCCAAGGAGAGAAAAGAACAAGTACA